AAAAAATTTAAAAAAATAATAATAAAATGAAATAGAATAAATAAAAATATTTTAAAAAATTAAATTAAATTAAAATATATATGTATATCGTCAATGTTTTTGCAAAACCGCCTATCTTGCAGCACTCAAATTTTACAGAAGGGCGAAAAAAACGGTTTATTCTTTGAAGGCATTGCCTTGATAGGTGGTAGTTTGTCTAGCTACAATTTTACAAATCTGTTGTTTTAATAACGATTTAACGATTTTTATGCATAAATCTCGATGCCTGGAGTTCAGGGTTACCAAATCTTCGGGCGGTTTTGCAAAAACATCGACAATATATATATATATTTTTCTCTTTTTATAACAATAAAATCTAAAAAAGAAATAAGTTAAAGAAAAAATTAATACAACAAGAAGATAATGGTAGTACGTAAAAGTTAAAAAAGAAAATTAAAAAATATTTTTAATTTTAAAACAAAATTTTTAATAAAAAAGAATTTATGAATCAAATATAAAATAAAATATGAGCATACAAATTTTGTCCTTTTTAAAACAATAACAAATAAATCGACTTCGGCTGATCCCATCATTCATTCATCAATATTTATTCAAAATTAATTTATACAATCGCTCTTTAGCAAAGAAGTGGGTTTTCAAGAAATTTTAAGAAAATGGGGGTGGCACCGCCTACTTGTATGATATATGCCTATCTCAAAAACTACTTGACCGATCTCGACCAAATTTGGTATACACATTATCTTTAGCCTCCTTAAGTACCGTCTTGAATATTTGTGAAGTGTTACTAGCTACATAAATGGAGGAGTTATAACGAAAAATAGGAGCTATAGGTTATAGTGACCCGATCTTTGTAATTTTCACTGTAAGTATTCTGTTGATAATGGGTGCAAGTATTGCAAAATTTCATGTTCGTAGCTGCATAAATGGAGAAGTTATAACGAAAAATCTCATATCTGAACAATCAGTTGTGTGGGAGCTATATGTTATACTGGTCCTATTTTTTCGGTTCTGACAAATGATAAATACATTATAAAAATACACCCATTTACCAAATTTCATCCGGATATCTCGAAAACTGGGAGACTAGATTGCATACAAACAGACGGACAGACGGGCATGGCCAAAATGACTCAGCTCGACGTTCTGATCAAATAAGTACACATTTTCATGGATCTATCTCTTTTTATTCTCGTACTAACAAACATCGGACCAAAGTTATAATAGATACCATTTCATGCTAATGAAAGGTGTAATGAAATTAACAAAATATAAATAATTAAACTTAAAACAAAGAAAAAATAATTTAAATAAGTTTCTAAAAATTAACTAAAGTAAAAATTATAAACTTAAAATAAAGAAAACACAAATTAAATAAGTTTCTAAAAATGAAATGAAGTAAAAAATATCTTTCTTTTACAAATGATAAAATCTAAATATAATTTGACTAAAAACAAAAAAAAAATAAAAATATTTAAAAACAGAAAAAATTAAATAAGTTCCTAAAAAATAAATGAAATTAAAAAAGTATATTTTTTTTTTTTAAATAGTAACACCTAAAAATTAAAAAAAAATACCTAAAGAAAGAGTAAGAAGTTAGTTAGTAATTTTGGCAGCCCCTTAGGCTTTCTGCACATTGGTCGTCCAATCACAGTTGCTTCATCGTAACAATCATGATGCAACGATTACATGACGACTACGAATTACAACAATGTGGGTGTCAAACAAAAGGTTCAAACATATTTTTGAAGAGAGTTGCCATCTTTTCATAAACATACAATCAATTTAATTAAATATCA